ATTATAGCCCGCACATTTCTGATTAAAATGAGACGTCTTCCAGCTCTACATGACCTTTCTTTGCAATGTTACAGAATTTACAAGAAAAGTGCTAAATTAATTTCTTCTTATTTCTACAGCTTTGAGCTGACAATGAACATTTAGGGCTTTTCTTGTAAATTCTGTAACTTTGTAAAAAAGGGTCGTGTAGTGGGAGACGTCTCATTTTAATCAGAAATGTGCGGGCTATAATTATGCCTCATTATGAAAGGTTTTGATTATTTTTTAGAATTTCTCAAAAACTGATTTCGCAGAAAACCGAGACTTCAAGAGCCATGGGCAAAAATCCTTTTAGGCTTTTTACCAGCTCGATGTGCTCTAAGAAACGAGGTATGAATGAAGGAAATCGGAGTTGGGCATGTGGGACGGTCCTCTCGTAAGAATTTAATTAGCCTGTCTTGTAGAGAATATAGTTCTCTACAAAATGAGGTATAGTATATTGATTTAGAGCCTGAGCGGTATCTCCAAAAATCGCTTAGAAAGAATACCACTACAATCATATAGTGACTCAGGGATAAGATATCACCTGAAATGTTTAGGAAAACCTGAAAACCATCTTACTTTTGGTTAAAATATCTGAAATTTCCAAAAATCTGCCTACTAGAAACGATTTTTACCAAAACTAATAAAAAACAATTCTATTACAAATATCTAATTCGATATATCAGCCCAAATGATATCCTAATATACTTGCAGATTCTGCTCTACATATATGGCTAAGAATCTTCCGAAGAAATCAAAATTGAAACGGTTTTTTATTATTTCAATAGGTAAAGAGTTCAGAGTTACGCATAAATCTGAGTTTTTAAATCTTAGAGTCAAAAATGAGTTAGTTACCGATTTTATACAAAAAGTTCCATAAAAGGAATCGAAACGGGTTACATTAGTTTCGGCCCACGAATTTTTTGTCAGGGACTTTCGGCCCGGTCCGAAATTTAGGTGATTTTTCGGTCCGAGCCGAAGTCTGAAAGGAATTTCTGACCAAACCTTAATTTACCTAATTAATTTTATAAATAATTAGTAGACGACATGGTGCTCAGCATCATGCACTTTCAATAAAACGTGGTGCTCGGCAATATGACGTGGTGCTCAGCAGTGCGACCTTTTATGTTTGATCGTAATTGTAAAAATTTAATTTAATTCTAGTGTTTTGTTTTTTTACTGCAAGAATCTAAAGAAAATTGAAATAAACTAGTTAACTTAAACAGGATCGATGGTTCGAAAAAATCTAAAAGTGGCGGTATTAGTGGAGAAACATCGGTCGAATAAAATTATATTGGTAGAGTATCGTGCTCTGCCTCACTTCGAATAGAATTGAACGAAAACTGCTAAACGTCATGTTGCACTGCTAAGCACTATATCGTCTTACCGAGCACTATGCCATCTTGCCGAGCACCAGGTCATAGTACTGAGCACCATGAAATTTGCTAATTATTTATTAATTAGGTAAATTAAGGTTTGGTCCGAAGTTCCTTTCAGACTTCGGCCCGGGCCGGAAGTCCGGGACACAAAATTCGTGGGCCAAAATTCAGACCTCCCATCGAAACATTAGACTAATATCATATTTAATTTTTTCTTGTTATGTTTCCTATTTTAAAAATCCGAGTTTACACATAAATCGAACAAATAGAAAAAATTGAACAAGTTGGGCTAGTTTCAAGACGCTTAAGCCATAAGTTAATGGTCAAAATGTTAAAAAAATTCAAGTTATTCAAATTTTTTAGGTTAAGAAACTTGTTTTTTTTTTTAATCTCTCACGCACTTAAACCCTGTTATAACAGAACAGTTTTAACGCAGTTTATAGAGCGATCAATTGTCTACAAAATGAGCTACTTTACATTGAAATGAGACCCCAATATTAGTACCACCAGAATTAGCATCATTCATCAACTTTTTCAAAACTTTATGTTTGGCTCGAACTACTTTATTCTCAAAGAAAACTGATATTGGCTATTAACATCTCGTAATTCCATTCTATGCTATTCGAAATGCCTTCGTGGAATTTTACAAGAACAATCACGAAACTCCTTGCATTAGAAACTACAATAAAGTCGACTTTTTAATTGCAGAATTCTAGGTCACCTCCTTCAATATCAGTTTCCTTTGAGAATGAAATAGTCTGAGCCAAACCTAAAGTTTTGAAACTGTTGATAAATGATGCTAATTCTAGTGGTATTAATTTTGGGATCCCACTTCAATGTAAAGTAGCTTATTTTGCAGACAATTGATCGCTCTATATATAAACTCCTAGACCGAGAATTAATCCCTCAATAGTCTGCTTGCAGGCCAGATAATGCAACTACCGAGAGAAATCTACTATCATAACGTATAATTAATCCTGGACACGTGAATGTACAATTAGTTCATTCAATATTGACTTATTGGAGTATATTCGAAGAAGTAATTCTTTATTTCTTTTATAAGAAAAGATGTTTATGCTATTTTATTGTTTTCATGTATCAGATGCATTAAAGCCATAAGTCTGATTATCATTATAATCATACCACTCTTGTGTGTTCACTTTAAATGGATTGTATGTCCTTGGCACCGTGTTTTGCTCTAAATAAAGAAAACTTTCCAAAGTCTTCTAAAACTTCCCCTTTTTATATAATATATACTGAAAAGTGTATGTCTGTGCAGGGCTTGGCAACTCCGCTGACTTTTAACTTCAACTCCGTTTTCAAATTCCAACTCTAACTCCACTAAAAATTTTTCAACTCCAACTCCAGGTCTCACAACAAAAATCCCATCTCTCGTTCAACTCCGGTTACTTCACTTTTGTAAGGAAGATTTTTCGCTTTTTAGAAGGATTATGGACGTTTTTGAGCTTTTTTCGGCAGGAAAGCGCAAAGAACTTCGGAGATGAAGTTGCCCAGTCCTGTGTCTGTGTTATAGGAGACAACACTTTATGTCCCTATTTTTGGAAGTTTCAAATAATGCAATGGTTCGCAGTCGAAGTTATATCTTAGTACTCATTTCTCTAATCTAAAATGTTAGCTACTAAACGAAAATGCTGAAGAATACATACGGTTAAATGGCATAGGTCGACGTTGTGTATTATATGAAACAGCTTGTGGATAACGGTAGTCCTGGATGGATTGGTGTCTACTGTTGAATGATTGTTGTTCGGCTGGATCTATGTATTTATATGCTTGTTGGTGAGTCTCTTGATCATAGTGCTTATTGTTACCATCGTCTTCTTGATAATGATTTCCTCTGGAAAAGCATTGTCGTTGATAATTGTTGTTAGTAGTTACTGTAGGAGCCGGTTTGTAGTAAATCACAGGTTTTTGTTGCTTGACTGCTGCTGTTTGTGCGAGTTCCTTTATTTTCGGTATGGGACTATTTGGAGTTTGAGTTGTATATTTGGTAACTGGACGATCAATAAAGGTTGATACAGGTTTGTTGTCTAAAAAAGAAATTTTGACGACGTCAATACTGTTCATTTCTATCTGAACTTACCTGATTTTTGTTGTTTCCATACTTCACACACTTTCAGATAGTGTGAAAAGTCGATTGGTTTTGACGTTAGAACAATTCTATATTCTAAATTATTAACTTCTTCTCGAATACGCTCAACTGATTGATGCAACCTGTCAATTTCGGGTTTACTTGTAGTTAGTTTAGAATGTATTCGTTCAAGAGGTATACGAATTTCATTTATTCGCTGATATAAAGTTTCCTTGAATTCTTCTAACGTTTCATGTAGAGATTTATCGAGTTGATGAATCATTTGTAACTTTTCATTGTACTCTCTTTCAATTGACTCCAAAGAAGTTGCTAGCCATTGTTTTAGTTGTTCCGCTGCGATCACCTTTGTTTCATTTTGACATTTGAGGTTGATTTGTTCGAGTAACGCATTTAAATCATCAGAAATAGTATTGCTTTCGTTTAATAATGACTCATTATGTGCCGATATATGTTCAAAACAAAGACGTTGGTCACAATGTAGACATACAGCATTTTGCGAGTGGGTACAAGAATCTTCTTGGCATTGATCAACATCTGTCATTTTTACACTTTACAAGATAGGTAATGAAGGACGACGCTAAAAGAAGCAAAAACATGAAAAAGCATAAATATTTTTCGCTAACGTGTAGATAAAAGCATTCACAGTACCATTTTACTGGAATTTTCTTTCTGTTCGTATAGTTTCTCCTGTAAAAGAAAAAAAATGAATTTTTTGCAGTCTGTAACAGAATGAATCATAAAAATTCATTTTGAAACATTCTATAAAATGAGAAAAAAATTACAAGTAACGTTCATTTTGTATGAGTATAAGTGCCGGAAGCTTTGATTTATAATGAATATGCGATTTCCATGTTCGAGAACGTATATAAATGCACGGAACATAGAAAGAAGTAAGAATTATTCAAAAGAGCAATCAATGCTCTAGTGACTGGCAGCTACCATTTAATAAGAATAAGCGCGAATCTATGACACCACAAACATGACTGATAATAAACCGAATCTAATTGACGTTGAACGACACAAACACTTATAAATAAACCTGCAAAAGTTCAGCGTTCTCTTTGAAGTTGAACGCTAATGTACGTTGGCGTTCCTTGAACGTGAACGCTAAACATAACGACGTTTTCTGAACGGTTTGTGATCAACAGCAAGGATTATTCTATCATGATTTCAAAAAAGACACTATGGACGTACAAAATCAACAGTGGAAGAATTCAAAAGAAACAAAACAACGCAAACAACATCATCAGCAACTGCTCAATCGGCTCTACGGCTTGTGCAGCTAACGGTATCCTTTTTTCGCTCTTTTTCAAAATATTATTGCAGTAAAGCTACAAACTAATCTAAAATTGCAACTACATAACTAAGTACATTAAACATTTCTCTATAAAATGAAAAGTGTCTTGGTTCTGAATGTTGATTAGTTATGAAAATACAGCTGTCGTACAAATAGCCCTAAAAATCTATTTTGGAGCTATCTGAAAAATGTGTCTAAAAGACTGAAGACGAGCAGGCGAAAATTCAAGAAGTATACCAGTTTGTAGAAAATTGTTTGCTCTACAAGATCAAAAAGGTGATAGCTTGTTAAGTTCGAAACTATTCTAATTAATCTGTATTAATAAAAACAAATCAGAAAACCGTCACGGTGTGACACTTTTGACCGCTTTTTTGTCACACCGTGACGGTTTTTCTGATTTTTCTTTGATTAATACAGATTAATTAGAATAGTTTCGAACTTAACAAGCTATCCCATCATGTAGAGTAAACATGTTTCTACAAAGTGGGATACTTGTTCAATTCTCGCCTGCTCGTGTTCACTCTTTTAGACACGTTTTTCAGATAGCCCCATATCGAATTTTTGGGCTGTTTGTACAACAGCTGTGCTTTCATAGGAAATCAATGTTCAGAGCGGAGACACCTTTTATTTTGTGGAGAAATGTTTAATGTACTTAGTTATGTAGTTGCAATTTTAGATTAGTTTGTAGCTTCATTGCAGTACTTTCTTGAAAATGAGCGAAAAAACAGGACTGTTTGCTGGACATACTCATGAACAATAGTCAAATTCAACAAATTGTCTGTTTTTTTTAAAAATAAATCCTATTTTGAACTTTTTGATAAAATTCAAACAGGCTTTAAGATAGCCTTTGTTATAGCCCGTGTAATTCTCTACGAGATGAGATATTCCTTGAATCTTTTTGTTTAGTAAGGGCGGGGGGGGGGGGGGGGGGGGGGGGGGGGGGGGGGGGGGGGGGGGGGGGGGGGGGGGGGGGGGGGGGGGGGGG